TTTTTACTGGTGGTAAGAAGACCTCTTGTGATTCCGCGCGGTTGGGTACCACCACCCTGCCTATTTCAGCCGTGAAGCAGTAATGCGTTTCGGTTTGAAGGGTGGGGCAGCCGTTTTAACTATACTTGAGACCTTAGAACTTGTATCTCAAGGTGGGTGGCGCATTTACGCTGTGGATGTCTATGGGCTCCAGTAACCACTTAACATCAGGTGGGCCGTGAGCTCGTCCACCCATCTAAGCAATAAAAAAATATATATATTGCATAATATCAGTCTTGATCAGTTGCTAATTTCCCATCACTAGTTCTATATTACTTAAAACCTAACTCTGCAACTAAATCTTGTCGTGACTAAGGACATAAAAACTAAAAAGCTGTGACCAAATGTTCAGAATTATAGAGGGTTTATCCCAAGTCAGGCGTTTTTTTTTTAATTTCGCCTTTTTCGAACGTTAAGCCCATTTTTCTTGGAAACATGGAACATTTGGTTCAATTTGGATCGACTAATATGAAAATGTTGATTCCAGTAAACAAATTAAGAACATCCATTTTGAAATAATAATATTTTAATTATACTTGACTATCACAGAGAACTGCCAGAAATGCTCCACAGAAATTGCGTTGTTCACACAATATATTTAGGTCTATTTTACTGTTGTACTACATTATACAAATAATCCCGTAGAATATACATAAATCAAAGAATGACAACATCGGACATCAAACATGTCTGACCTAAAACGAAATAAAAACATAAAATTCCGTATTTTATCTAGGTGAATCATTAAATAAATGTAACGACTAATTTTACTATCCGCGTAGCGTGCAAACGTTACGCAAGGCGCGTAGTCGTACAATGCGTTATTTCTTGGAATCGCAAAATGATGTCGGTTACGAGCGACGCCGGAAACAAGATCGCGTGTGCTAACTGCCAAAATAGATCTTGGACGAGTTCCGCCAACCTGTTACCGGCCAGTGTTGGCTACAAACGGGACTATCCTTTTAAGGACAGCTTTTCGAAGTAAACGGAAGGTGCGCCCATACAAAATATATCTATTGAATTCTGTTTCGAAATTTATGGAATCTATTCGATTGGCTTTATATGAAAATATGGGCACATATATGTGTAGCAGGTTTGTTAGATTGACAGAGTATTAATATTTGAAATTGATATTATTTACACGAAACTATTTTTATTAGTATTACGAGCTGACCCGGCATACTTCGTAGTGCCTCAATCGATAAACAAAAGACCTAAACTTCTGTACAAAATAAACTTAAAACAAACAAAAGGAATCCGTCCGAGGGGGGGGGGGACATCAAAAGAAAAACGAAATTATTATTTTTATTTAATTCCGAGCATTTTCATATTTATTTACCTTTTAAACCTTCTCTGGAATTCCACGAATAATTCAAGACTAAAATTAGCCAAATCGGTCCAGCCTTCTCGAGTTTTAGCGAGACGAACGAACAGCAATTCATTTTTATTCAAATAGATTAGTATTATTAGTTCTCTATAATTACTTAAAGGTAACATAGTAATTTGCTACATCTACACGCGTCACTTACTGATCTCTCCATCTGCTTCTATACACCGTGTACAAGAGTTTTTAATTTGAGTGGAACCATCGGTACTCCAAGTTCGACAATGCTGTAATTTTTAATTTATTAAAATAGTTCAAAGTTTCTACTCAGAATAGGTAATACAACATGCATTAGGTAATACACTCCTGTAATAGGTAATACAACATGTATTACCTATTCTACGAATGGATGATATGAATTAGGAGCAGTGGTAAAAGAAGAACGCTCACCTACATACATCTGGTGGTGGTGGTAGCGTTATGTTATAGAATTTATGTTGTTTTTTTGAGTAGAATTGTATTACACGTACAACGCGCTCAAACATAAATCCAGATGTAGCTCATCTTTGCTTTTTCAAGTTACAAAAACAAAATCCCCGTTGATCGATCCACCATGTAACACGAACCGATACAAGCGTGAAATTGCATTTCCTAAGACGTCAATTAGATCGATAGTGTACAGTTACATTCGGTTAACTTAATCGTCGAGTACATAATACGGTTCTGCGGTTATTTTATCGTAGATTTTAATTTTATCGTAATATTAGCCTTCGATTAGGTATGGGCTATATGGTAAGACGAATATCGGCTGCAATTCCGCTATTACTCAAGCAATTTGTATAAAAAAACATTTCATAATTTAATAATTTTTACTGGTGGTAGGACCTCTTGTGAGTCCGCGCGGGTAGGTACCACCACCCTGAGTATTTCTGCCGTGAAGCAGTAATGCGTTTCGGTTTGAAGGGTGGGGTAGCCGTTGTAACTATACTGAGACCTTAGAACTTATATCTCAAGGTGGGTGGCGCATTTACGTTGTAGATGTCTATGGGCTCCAGTAACCACTTAACACCAGGTGGGCTGTGAGCTCGTCCACCCATCTAAGCAATAAAAAAAAAAGCGTTCTCTATCTATGTTTTACTGATAGTAGGTCTTATAGTAATGTAGGTACTAGCCACCTTACCTATTTTGGCGGTGAACCTTCCTTGCGTTCCGCTTTGAAAGGGTGCGACAGCCGTATTAGATTACAATATTATCATGTCTCAAAGTGGACGATCGCATTGACTTTTTAACGTCTATGAGTTCCGATACCACTCAACACCTGACTGAACTTTTTTTAAACTTAAATTAAATGTGGATAAACGACGAAGGGAAGTTCTTCCACCGAGCAGGTAATTTTGCCGATATTGATATTCCGGTGGGCAGAACATCAATCAGATGTGGTTAAGAAAGCGGTTGATGGATGCGGTTCATGCCACCCATGACCGAACACTATGGAGGAAAGTCACATGTGGTCGCGATTCTCAACACTGAGAAAAAGATGAAGAAGAAGAAGAAGAAGATTATATGCAAGCTTATCTTGAAAATGTCGTAGGCGATATTCAAGCATCTGTCAAATATCTAGTGTTCCATGATGGTTACCCGCCACAGATATTATGTTCCTTAGGGGTCGATAGCCACGGATTTACTGTAATAACACGTCGGTTTGAAAACAAGGTTTCTGTTTTTTTCATTAACTTAATTTGGAATAATCACAAACGAAATTCGGTTCTTTGACTATTGCGTCATGGCACCGAGAATTGTTTTTGGAGCCTTAGTTGCGAGTTAAAACCGATTGTCCTTTTAAATTGGATTTCACGCAATACTCGTAATAACTTATTAATGAAAAAAACATATTGTATTCATTTCTGTTTTCCCTAACTATTTGTTAGATATTTAATTAAAAAATTGCTACTGGTATTCCCTAATACTAATCGAATCCTTTCTCGGTCCCGGGGGTTTTTTGTGCTATTACAATAACCAATTCCCAATTTCAAAAACAATACCTTTAAGGTCTTAGGTTGACTTCCATATGTTTCCGTATCGTTTATCGGGCACTGCAACAAGCGGCGGTCACTGTTTTCGTCGAACCCGTCGCTTGCGACTAAGGGCTCGACGAGTAAATTAACCCTCAGACACTGAGTTTCTCGCCGGATCTTCTCACTGGGTCGCGTTTCCGATCCGGTGGTAGATACACGGCTCTTGCTAGGGTTCGTGTTAGCAACGTCGTCAGGTTTGAGCCCCGTGAGCTCACCTACAAGTTAGGTTACGCTGGAATAGCCTCTCAAGGCTAGCAGCTTAGGTAGGAAAAAAAAAGCAACAAGCGGAACCACCTCCACAGTCGGTTCGCTTCGAAAACCACTTTTATGTCAGCCATTACGTGCCCTTACATAATAAACGTACAAAGGCTTTACACTTGCATGGTTTCCCATGAGCTAACATCGTCTTATAATAATAATAATGCTTTCTTGTGCAACTTTACATTCGTGTGAAACATGATACCGGAATTATTTGAATGTTGATTCATAACAATAAAATGTTTTTCGACGTCTCTTTAAATGTTTGCACTTGTAATGCGCCAATTTCTAACTGTATTTGGTATTTCTGTGGCGGGATCTTCTTAAAAGCTCGCTATTCCGATCCGGTTGTAGACGAAGCAGCTGCCCCTGAGCTGTTATAAAATCCCATCCCTCCTGGCTGAGCCTGTCCGGGCAAAGTCTAGGGGGCCACTAGGAATTTCTCCTTAAAAAAAGACGACTCTATAAGATTGTTTTTATTTCTTCTAAGATATTCTCGAGTGCTCCTGGGATTAATTAGTATTCTAATCATTCCTTAGACGGATACAGAATGGTATTGTAATAATTATAAGTTTAGTTAATTACATTCGATATATGTTAACGTAAACAGTTGAAGTACTAAAGATAAGTGTCAAGGCTTGAGAAGTGTTTGTTCGCAACGGTATGATGCGACGCACAATACTAACTAATAATGCGTTTTTACTCATTCATTCTCACGGAATACAATTTTTCGCATTGACGTTTAATTTTTACTATACAATTGGTATTCGCGTTGGCTTATCGTTTGAAGTTTACTTGTTTTTATAGCTTTTGCGGGTTTTGATTTTTATTACACGATGTTATTCCGTCACCGTGGAAGTCAATCGTGAACATTTGTTAAAGACGTATTTCATTAGAAAAATTGGTACTCGCCTGCGGGATTCAAACACCTTTGCATCGCTAGATACGAATGCACCGGACGTCTCATCCCTTAGGCCACGACGACTTCTAACTGACACACCTGACGGAGAATAGTGGCATATTAAATTAAATTGGTTTTCATTGTATTAATTTAAACTGTCTGTAAAATTATTAGTTCATTAATAAATTATCGACGTGTTTGTCTTCCTTCTATTACTTTCATCTGATTATGATGAAACTTGGTACAGTATTTTATGATACTCCAGAAGACGTTTCCGGATATTCACCACTGACCGAGACCGGATTTCATTAGTGCTTAATAAAGATAGAGATTGACAAATCACGGTCTAGCCCAAACGGGTTTTATTCCGATATAAAATCTTATCTTAGTATAATAATTTCAGGTACAATGGATATCTACCAGCCGGCGAGCGAGGACGAAGAAGAAGCAAATTCGTTCTGTACAGAAGGCCTCAAGCAAATGGCGTGAGACGTTCGAAGCACTACGTTGTGAAAACTCCTCACAGCAGCAAAGCCATACTCGATGCCAGCCAACACTCCATCTCGTACACCCTCAGCCGCAGTCAGGCGGTCATCGTGGAATACACCGAAGACCCTGACACGGATATGTTTCAGGTCAGTTCTCAATTTCGTCTTGCACATTTTATTTATAATAACTACAAGCAGAGTCCAGTGAGTTTCACGCCGGATCTTCTTAGTGGGTCGCGATTCTGATCCTGTGGTAGATTCAGAGAAGAACTGCTGTTACTAGTGTTAGCCCTGTGAGTTCGCCTACACATCCGGTGAAGCATAACCACCCGAGGCTTTTTTTTTTTATGATTGAAGTATTACTGGTGGCCCGGAGGCCCTTCCAGTTTCACCAGAACAGCTGGGCAAGCAAGGCTCAGCCAGCAGGGGTGGGATTTGCTAACAGCTGCCCGAGCGCCTCCGAAGAAGACCTAACAACTCAAGAACAGCCGCTTCGCAAATGAATCCACTACCGAATCGGAATCGCGACTCGCTGAGAAGATCCGGCGAGAAACTCAGCGGGCTGATGCATGTTTTAGGTTGCACGTCGAACTCTTTGCCGAGTTCGACGAGTACATCCGAGGCTACTAGCAATAGGTAGACTAAAAAAAAACACCGCTTTTGATTATAGAAAACTTGAAATGGAGCTCTTCTGATATTGGTGTTCTTTGTTGGGTAAAAAATTTGAAACGTCAGTACTCTTATATCCACGGCTTTTGGGTCAGGTGCACCATTTCAACTCAGGGCACCAACACTATTTGGTTTTATAATAAAAAACATTGCTAGCTCCGAATACCAGTTAACTAATTTATCTATTATACTCGTACTATCGTTAAAGGGTTATTATAAAGGCGAACTTTAAGTAGTCGAGAGTATAAGGAAAATCCGGCTGTTTGTAAATGTTTTTCCAAATACTGTATACGTAATATGATTTACTGATTCAGTTATTCAAAGAAAAAATTTAAGATTTTCATAAATATTATTTAAATTTAAAGAATCACATGATTTCGTTCTGTTTACTTCTTATATACCTTGTGTCCCGTAAAATAAGGTGTTCATTACAAAATCTAAGTCACAGTATATAAGAACACTAGAATCCGCATGTGGGAAAGGTCAACTACTCGTAAATTGACTGTGCAAGTCGTTGTATGTGTTGCATAATAATAATTCATACTTGATCAATGTCATTCGTGTCACATAACTTTTTATCTATATACTAATACGCGAAGCAAAAACTTTGTACCCCTTTTTACGAAAATTGCGCGGACGGAGGAGTATGAAATTTCCCACACTTATAGAGAATATAGAGGAGTGCACAATGCTGATATTTTTTTTTAAATAATGCATAAAAGATACATTAAATCAATAAATAAAAACATTACACACACTACCATGTATTTGACACACACACACGCATGCATACTATTTGTTTATTGTCAAACTGTTCTTATTGCATTAAGTCTATGGTCAAATTGAGAATAGATTAAATATTGTTTGTCTTTGGTAATATTTGTCTAAAGTGTAGTCTTGGCGAAATCTGTGATTATAGAAGTATAATAAATAGTCTTTGACAGAAGTATAATAAATAGTTTAATAATGTTCAAATTTATAATTGCAATTAATTATAGTCGAATTTCGACTACTGCTGGACCACTAGTTTTTATAAAATGATGCATGTACACACGTTTAAAATTAATTTTAAGAAGATCGTTTGGGAGGCGTACGTGACCAGGACGCCGCCGCGCCGTTGTTATATTGGCTCGACTGTCCGGCGTAGTAGGGTTTTTCCAACTAATGACGGAAAGCGTTTTTAAAAACAAACTATGTACGGTACAATTATGACAGACATGTAGGTATATTGTTTTTATTATATATATATAAGAATACACGAAATCTTATGTCGAACCACCCTGCCTATTTCTGCCGTGAAGCAGTAATGCGTTTCGGTTTGAAGGGTGGGGCAGCCGTTGTAACCATACTGCGACTTTAGAATTATATTTCAAGATGAGTGGCGCGTTTACGTTGTAAATGTCTATGGACTCCGGTAACCACTTAACACTAGGTGGGCTGTGAGCTCGTCCATCCTTGTAAGCAATAAAAAAAAAAAAAAAATTGTGTTGTTGATAAAATCGTAACTTAGTTATTAGGTCGATGTTTCTATTCAGAATTGGTAATATTAAGTATTATCATGCTTCCATTTAGTATAATTATGTACAGGAAGCTAGTTTTTTTTTCATGTATCAAAATGTGAGTCCATGGTGTCGATGCGTCTCTGCCAGCGCAGTGGCCATTTTTCAATGCCCTTCTCGAAGAAATCAGGGGTACGGGAGTCAATAAACGTTTCAAACATGTTTTGTACTGCCTCTGGGGTATTGAATTTTTGAGTTTTTATCCCGCCAAGGCATAAAATATGATGAGTATGTATGATAGTGGATGGCGCAAATCTTCCAACCGTACCTTTGTAACTTAGAGACCGTGTGTTGTGCCGTATGAGATCGGGTATTGTCGTGTTGGAGCAGCGGGGACGAATAATTAACCAAGACTGGCCCGACATTCGCGAGCTTCTCAATCATTGTGTCCAGTTTCTTAGTAATATCGGTGTCGGTAAAAAGATGTGATGAATTATACCGGCAATAGTGCACTAAATAGTGACCATGACTGAAAAGAGAACACTAATAATATAATCAATTAACAAATGGCTGAAATTAAAAATGGAATTCCTTGGATTTTTTTTTAAATAAAATTCATTTGAATTTAGAATATATTGCCAGCTTTACTTAAATTACATTTCACATCGCCGGAATTCTAATACGGAACCTTCATAGGTAAAGAAAGATCTACAATTTCACTATGTGGTACTTATGTATTTTTTTTTATTTGTATAAACAGGGAAACCATCTCATCGCACATCCGATGGTAAGTGGTTTAACCATAGACCAGACCACTTCAAAACGTCCCTGTTTGGACAATTTGCTTTTAATTACAATGCATTCCAATGTCCAAGCGTCAGACAAGCGCTTATATAGTGCCATTGAGACTTCGAACAGATTAGCAAATGATTTAATACAGTTTCAACATACACAAGATCAGCAGACTAATCCTCTTCTGACAATACACGCTACTGATCCCGGTTTTCGGCTCAACCAAATCCACTCCCACACGAACATACTTCAATCTATACATATAAATAAAATTGGAGTGTCTGTTTGTAATATTGAAATAACCGCTTTTTACTACATGCATACGAATGTATATACGGTACATACACCAAAATAACATTTTTTACAATTTTTGTCTGACTGTCTTTCTGTCTGTCTGTCTGTTTGTTCCGGCTAATCTCCGAAACGGCTGGACCGATTTTGACGGGACTTTCACTGATAGGTAGCTGATGATATAAGGAGTAACTTAAGCTTTTTTTAGACTAGCCTCGCCCCGTGGCTTCACTCGCGGTTCGACAATAACATCTCGGGACTGAGCTATCAATAATAAAATTTAACATTCTGAAGCGAAGCGAGGGCGGATCGCTAGTTATATATAAATATAATATGCAGAACTTAACTCATAACATATAATTTTTAGATAGGCACACTTGTTTGTGTATTGCTTGAACAGGTCACGATAAAAATTGATCAGTATCCTCTTTGTCTATATTTGTATAAACTAGTGATGTATCAAAACCATGAAACGGTACGAATTAAATAGAAATGATAATGCATCCCGTCAAAACTATTTACTGGAATCTTAGCGATACATAAATCGGATTGCGTCACGTCACTAGTTTCTTCAAACTATGAGGATTGCTGAGAAGACATTCGATACTATATTTGTTGTAAACAATGGTTTTATCTTACGCTGGGACACGAGGTCACGTATTTCTAGAAAATTAATAACAATAAATATTGATGATTGTAATTGAATATTAGTTGAAGCCTTGATAAATGGTTCTTGACATTGTAGTATTATTTTTGTACACATGCCGCTGCTGTTGCTTTTAAGGGTATGAAATCGAAATGCGTTCATAGCCGATCCTTTAGACCGAATGGTAAACAGTCGTCGTCGCCCAAAACTCGTCATTACGGATCCTCCCGATCCATTAAAAGTGCTTTTAGGTACCACAAGCACCGGTAACCGTCCTCGTCGAACCCGTCGCTTGCGACGAAGGGCTCGACAAACGAATTAACCCATAGACACAGCCCACTGAGTTTCTCGCCGGATCTTCTCAGTGGGTCGCGTTTCCGATCCGGTGGTAGATTCTGCGAAGCACTGCTCTTGCTAGGGCCAGTGTTAGCAGCACTCCGGTTTGAGTCCCGTGAGCTCACATACACGTTAGGGTGAAGCTGAAATAGCCTCTCAAGGCTATCAGCATAGGTAGGAAAAAAATAAAAGTGTGATTCGCGTTAATTTAACGCTGTACTGCAAATTTCCTGAACACATGCTTGTTTTGCGCCAAAAATGGGCCAAGGTTAGTAATTAGTAAATAAAATAGGCATTTCATATAAGTGCAAAGATTGTTATGTTGCCGATACTCCAAATAGGTCTACATCATAAACTTGTTTATTGTGTAGTATTCGTGTTATGCAAAATTAACTAACGATATTGGTAATAAATTTCCACTCTGTTGTTTTTTCTTCGTATATTTTGGACTTGCGCCAGTACGGCGAGGCAAACTCAGCTGCTTTTGGTGGTTTAAAGAATATGCTCTTGCCTAAACAGTTTTCTTCATAGAAGTAAATATTCACAGAAAATGTATGTCGAATCAATTCTTTTATGAACAAAGAAGGAGCCAGCCGTAATTCAACTAACGATCACAAGTATATTGGAATTTGGTAATAATTGTTGTTAGTCGTGTAATTAAAATTCCTCAAATATTAATGACAATTTAGTAGGGAGTAAAGACGCGAAACCAGATTCATAAAATTTTATAATTAATAATAATAATAATAATCTTACGTAAGAAATACTGTAACCTCTAAATTTAAGGTTAAAGAATATCGCGCAGTCACTCGAGAAATAAACTGTTGAAAGTTTATACAACGATCGTAGCCTGTAGTATTAAATCGTCGCACATGGGTTAGTGGCCCCCGGGAGAGAACAATGCGTTGGTCCCT